CGGACGAGAGGAAGTGCAACTACGAGCGCTACCGGGGCCTCGTGCAGAACGACTTCGCCGGCAGTAAGTGGCTCCCGCCGGCGGGAGAGCCGGGCCCGGCTCCCGCCGGGAATTCCCGCCGGGAATGCTCCGGGATGCGGCCTCTGCGGAGGAGCTGACGGGCATTCCGCGCGCGGCGCCGCAGTCTCGGAGGAGCAGTGTCTCTACCAGATCTACATCGACGAGCTCTACGGGGGGCTCCAGAAACCCAACGAGGACGAGAAGAAGAAGTGAGAGCGCGAGGGGGCCCCGAGGGCGCTTTGGGGGCAAATCCGGGGGTTTTGGGCCGGCGCCGCTGCGCGGAGCGGCGCTCAGCGCGTGCGCGCGCAGGCTGGCGGAGAAGAAGGCGTCCATCGGCTACACGTACGAGGACAGCACGGTGGCCGAGCTGGAGAATTCCCTGGAAAAGCACGCCGACGAGGAGGACTCCGAGGAGGAGAGCAACACGGACGAGGACGAGGTCATCCCCGACATCGGTAACGTTCCCGCCGGAGCGCGCGGAGGCGCGCGGGGCCCTTGGGAGCGCGCCGGGGCGCTGAGGCGGCCCGCGCTCCGCCGGCAGACGTGGAAGTGGACGTGGATGAGCTGAACCAGGAGCAGGTGGCCGACCTCAACAAGCAGGCCACCACGTACGGCATGGCCGAGGGCGACTTCGTCCGGTACGGAGCGGGGCCGCGCCGGAGCCGCCCCTCCGCGGGACGAGCCTCCGGGAAGCTCCGTGCGGAGGAGCCCGGGGGGCTCCGGCAGCGGCCGCTCCAAGGGGTTTTCCCTAAGGATGCTGCGGAAGGACAAGGAGGAGGCGGAGGCCATCAAGCACGCCAAGGCGCTGGAGGAGGAGAAGGCCATGTACTCGGTGAGGGAGCGGGAGCGGAGCTGGCGCATCCCGGGAACGCGCCGCCATCCGCCTGCATCGGCCTCCGTCCCGCAGGGCCGCCGCTCCCGGCGCCAGAGGAGGGAATTCCGGGAGAAGCGCCTGAAAGGGCGGAAGATCAGCCCTCCCAGGTGAGCCCCGCGCCGGGAAGAGCCGCGGGAGGCGCCGGCGCTCCGCGCCCGGGGAAGCTCCRGAGGTTTTTCCCTGCTCCGACAGCGCCTCTCGTTGCAGCTACGCCCGCAGAGACAGCCCCACGTACGATCCCTACAAACGGTGAGCGCCTCGTGGCGCCGCTTCCCGGATCCCGGCCGCTTCCCGGGCGCTCCGTGACGCTGCCGCCTCCCAGGTCTCCCTCGGAATCCACGTCGGAGTCGCGCTCGCGCTCCCGCTCGCCGTCGCCGGGCCACGAGGAGAAGATCACCTTCATCACGAGCTTCGGCGGCAGCGACGAGGAGGCGGCGGCGGCGGCGGCGGCCGCGCAGGCCGGCGGCGTTCCCGGGAAATCCGCCGCGCTCGGGAAGCAGCGCTGCGCTCCAGGACAGCCGGGCAGCGCCGCGGCAGGTCATAGCGCCTCTTCCCGGTCGGTAACTCTTCCCATCCGGCTCCCTTTCCCAATCCCTAAGCGCAGGGCTGGCTCCGCTCGGACACGGTCCCGGCATCCGGGGCGCTTCTCCAAGGGGGGGGACAGTGGGTGGCCCCACGGCCGGGGGAGCCACATCCGAGGATCGGAGCTGGGAAGGGGCTGCATCCGTGATCCCGCAGGGCTCCGGGATGCTCGGAGAATCCCTGTTCCTCCCGCTGCCGGCRGACCAGGAAAACGGGAGCAGGACTGGAGGGCAACTGCTCCGAGAGGGACTCGGTGGCACCTCAGGGTGGAGGATTTGGGAAGCAGATTTGGGAATCGGAGCTTGCCCTAAGGGAAGGGAGCATCCAGGCTGCTCCCGGGGTTGGGAATGGCGTGCTCACGGGTCCCATCCCGGCACTGAGTGTGACTCGCTGTTCCCGAACAAAGCGCCTGCGTGCGGCTGTTCCGGGGCCGGTGCGGCAGCCGCTTGTTCCGGGGGCCTGGGCCGGATCCCGCCTGAACCGCCCGTGTCCCCCCGTGCGTCCCCTCCAGGAGACGCTCCTCGTCCTCCTCCTCCTCGCCGTCCTCGTCGTCGTCCTCCAGCTCCCGCTCGAGCTCCCGCTCGTACCGCGGCGGCTACCGCCGCTCCGGGCGCTACCGGCGCTCGCGGAGCCGCCGCTACTCCCGCTCGCGCTCCCGCAGCCGCCGCTATTCCAGGGGCGGCTCCCGGGACGGCCGCCGCCGCTCCCGCTCCTACTCGCCGGATCGCGGCTACCGCTACGGCTCCCGCCGCCGCTCCAGGTGAGCCGGAGCCCTTCCCGCTATTCCCGGCGGCGGGAAGGGGGTGGCCGCCGCCGCGGGACTGAGCCCCCGCCGCTGCCACAGGAGCCGCTCGCGATCCGGGGAGCGCTCCCGGCGGAGCAGCCGCTGGAGCCGCCGCTGGAGCAGCAGCGGGAGCAGCGGGAGCGACTCGCGCAGCCGCAGCAAGTCGGCGTCTCCGGCGGCGCGGGAGAAGCCGCTCCGGCCCGCCGCGTCCCCGGCCCTGGGGGAGAAGCTGAAAAAGTGGGTGCCGGGGGGCCGGGAAGGGCGCCGCCGGCGCCGCCTCGCCCTCATTCCCGGTTTTTCCCTGCTCCCAGGGCTGAGCCTGCCGCTGGTAAAGAGACAGGAGCTGCCAAAGTCAGTAAGAATTTAACGCCAGCTGTTTAATTCCCGGCACTTCCGAGCAGCCCGAGGGACACGGTGGTGGCCGGGCTGGAGGAGGAGGAGGGTTGTGGCCGGTGTCCCCTTCCCGGGGCGTCCCCTCCCCTGTGGCCCATCCCGGGGCGCGGGAGCCGGAGCGGCAGCTCCACGCGGGATCGGGAGCYGGGCTCGGATGAGGGGGATCCGCCCTGGGGCGGGGGGGGGCTTTGCTTCCCGCCGGGCTCTGCCGCAGGGAATCCCTGCGGCCGCCGGGGCCGCCGCGTCCTGGCTGCCGCCCGCCGCCGCCGGACACGCGGCTCCGCTCCCGCCCGCAGCCCAAGCTGACGCCRCAGGAGAAGCTCAAGCTCCGCATGCAGCGGGCGCTCAACCGGCAGTGTGAGCCCCCCGGCGCCCCCCGGCTCCCGCTTTTCCCGCTTCTCCCGCTTTTCCCGCTTTTCCCACTTTTCCCGCTTTTCCCGCAGTCAAAGCCGACAAGAAGGCGGCGCAGGAGAAGATGCTGCAGCAGGAGCACGAGAGACAGGTTGGGGGGGGAACTCATCCCGGCGCCCGCGGCGGGGGGTGGCGCTTTTCCCAGGATTTAAGGCGGATTTTCCCTCTCCGGCAGGAGCGCGAGGATGAGCTGCGGGCCATGGCCCGGAAGATCCGCATGAAGTAACAGCCGCCCCGTCTCCTCGCGACATTGCGGGCGCTTCCCGTCTTCCCGGAGAGGGGGGGCGCTTGGGAAGCAGCGGGATCTCACCCCCYCTCCCCGTTCCCTTTTCCGGCAGGGAGCGGGAGCGGCGGGAGAAGGAGCGCGAGGAGTGGGAGCGCCAGTACAGCCGGCAGAGCCGCTCGCCGTCGCCGCGATACAGTGAGTGGCAACAGGCGGCGGCGGGGGGGGGAACAGGCGGTCACTACAGCCGCGCCGCTCCCTCACGCGCCTCTCCGCAGGTCGGGAATACAGCTCGTCCAGGAGGTAGAGCCCGGCSTTCCCGGCCCCATCCCGCAGCTCCCGCGATTGGGAGCCCCTTCCCACCCCCGTCTCCCTTCCGTCCCCGCACAGGCGCTCCCGGTCCCGCTCGCGGAGCCCCCACTACCGGCACTGAGAGCCCGGCTCGTCCCTTATGGAATAAAGAAGGAAAATCCCCCCCCGCCCCGGCGCAGCTGCTGCTTCCCATCTCCGTCGAACCCTCGGGATTGGGAAGGGGGGGCCCTGCTGCTCAGGAGCAGGAGGGAAGGGATGGGATGGAGCTCCCGGCCTTGCCCGGGTGGATTCCCCCCTTTTCCACCCGGGCGGGTGTTTTTTGGGAATGTCTTCCTTTATCCCTCCATTCCACAAGTGATATTTTCCCCCTGCTTTATTCCCCCACATGGACAGTTTTCCTTCCCCCATTCCAGGCAAAATTTCCCCCCGCTTTATCCCTTCTCCCAGCTTTGTCCCCCCCATTCCGGGCTCAATTCCCCCCACTTTCTCCCCTCATTCCACAACCAATTTTCCCCTTGCTTTCTCCCCTCCATTTCCCTGTTTCCCTCCACTTTATCCCTCCCCTCCAAGGCCAATTTCCCCCCCCTTTCCGGGCTCCATCCCTCCTTTCTCGCCCCCTTTCTGGGCTCCATTCCGGGCTCTATTTCCCCCCATTTCGGGCTCTGTTTCCTCCCATTCCAGGCTGCATTCCCCCTCCCATTCCGGGCGGCATTCCTCCCCATTCCAGACTCTGTTCCCCCTCCTTTCTCACCCCCATTCCGGGCTCCATTCCCGCCCCATTTCGGGCTCCATTTCTGCCCCCATTGCCCCCTTATTCCAGGTTCCATTCCTCCCCCATTCC